TAATAGTACCTGCTTCATAGAGTTATTATGAGGATCAGATGCAAATGTGTATAGTGTTGAGTGAGGCATCTGGTATACTATAATAGACACTCGAGTAGTTGCTAATATTATCAGCATACAATCTGAGGGTTCAGTCAGCCAGTCGTTAGCAATCCATTGTCTGTTGGAACATGCCAGTGTTCTCTAGTACACCAGCTGAAATCGAATAGCAGTCAGAAAACAGATAGATTATTCCTCGATTAAACAGTGTATTCATGTAAGTGATTGCTTGGATCCTCATCAGAAGCTATGTTACAGAAAAATGATGTTAAGGCTCACTAAATTCTGATAGCTGTCAGTTACCAACCAACCCCCAGAAATTAACTGTGGTGTATTTAATAAGAGGAACCCTAGTTTGAAGTAGAAGCTGTGGACAAAATAGTAGGTGAAAAATAATGGCATGAAGCCCCCAAATTCAGTAAGCTAAAAGAGTGTAGTACCTCAAAGGGTCTTTGTGGTTAAAAAAATTTTTATGCTGAGAATAATGTTCATTGACATGTGCCTATAAGTAATTTTTTGGAAGTTTAAAAGGTGAAATGAACTACAAATGGGAGAGGTCTGAACTTTCTTTCCTTCATTCAAACGTGTGATGTGGACAGAGCATTTGACCTGTGAATTTTATCTTTTACAAAATGAGAGTAATTCCTGCTTCTTCCTTCCTAATAGTGGCATTATAATAATGAAAATGAGTTGATAATATAGGTGGAAAGTGTTCTACAAATCAGCCTTACTGTTTTACTGTCAGTTACTGAGAAGTTTTGTTCATTGGAACTGTTTCAGCTTGATTAGAATCATAGCATGTAAAACCCAACTGGGAAATTATCTACAGACTTAATATCCTATATAAGTTGTCGTCTTTCATGGTTTCAGCCTTTTTTGCTTTTAAATTAGTGATGTCGTTGCTAGATTTGTAACATATAGCTAGTCACCTTTCAGTGAGGTTTCCATAAGGCTTTTCTGTGTCTCTAGGTTATTTGAGATAACTTTTTTAAAATTAGCTCTTGTCCTCCCTCTACAGGAGAATTTGCAGCCTTCAAGTAGCCACACCATCATGACAGCATCTACTCTTATTTAAGTCTTGTGTTCGTACAATTTGTTAACATCAAAACACAGTTCTGTTCCTTAACTCTTTTTAAAGATAAAAATTTTCAATGCATAAGCTGGTGTGGAACAGAATGGAATTTCCCATCCAACAAAAGAGGGAAGAATGTTTTAGGAACTAGAATTCTCTGCTGCCAGTGTTTCTTCTTCAACACAAATACCACGTGCATACAAGTCTGCCCACTCCCAGGAAGAAAGAGGAGACCCTGAGTTCTGACCTTTTGATGGTCAGGCATGATGGAAAGAAACTGCTGCTACAGCTTGGGAGATTTGCTCTGGAAAGTCTGCCAGTCAACTTTGCCCTTCTAACCACCAGATCAATATGTGGCTGATCATCTGATGGGGCAGTTGCAATCACCAAGCCTCGTTCTCTTTCCTGTTCTGGGATTTTGTTGTGGAGCTCTTTCCCCTAGCCACCACTGGTTAATTTCTGAGGGATGGAACAAAAATGCAGCATGCCCTTCCTGTATGGTGCATGTTCAGTCCTTGATAAATTTTTACCAAAATGAAGCTATTTTATTTAAATGGAGGGTGAGAGAGAGGAGGTAGGTTTTGGTGTAAAGGAAAAGGGAATGCTGCATCTTTTTCCTGACCTGCTGGGTCCCTGGCCTTTGTTTCCTCGCTCACTCAGGCTCTGCCTGGCGGGCAGACTGGAAGCTCTGGCGCACATTGCCTTCTTTTCCCATTGGGTCCAGCAATGAAGACGAGTGTTTGGGGATTTTTTTTCTCCACGATGTAGCAAGTTCTCAGGAAAATACAATTGAAATCTTCCTCCTAAGCTCTTCCAGTCACCAAGTACTTATGTGGCTACTTTGTCCAGGGCACAAAATGCCTGTATCTAATTAAAAGCCTACAAAACTGCTTGATAACAGTTTTGAATGTGAGACATTTATATAATTTAAATGTAAGGTACAAGTTTTAATTTCTGAATTTCTTCTATTTTTATTAAAAACAAAATAATTTTCAGATTTAATTGAATTGGAATAAAATAATACTTCCCACTAGAATTATATATCCTGGAAAATTGTATTTTTGTTATATAAACAACTTTTAAAGAAAGATCATTATCCTTTTCTCTACCTAAATATATGGGGAGTCTTAGCATAATGACCAATATTTATAATTTTTAAATTAATGGTACTTGCTGGATCCACACTAACATCTTTACTAATATCTCATTGTTTCTTCCAACTAACTCCTGCACTACATCCTACATTTTCTTTCTAGTCTTTGATCTAGCATATGCAACCTCAAATAAAAATGGTGGTGTCTCCATTCATTCTCCTCCTTCCTTTTTTCCCAAGCCTGGTCTTCAAAAGGTTGGTTAACTTTGGCAGCCGAGTCCCCCAGGCAGAGAATAGAGCAATTTTAGGTGTATTGGGACTGAGGGAGGATGTGAAAAGCCTAACATCAGTTGTTTTTATAGAAAGAACTGCTGTGGTATTAAGAACCTTGTTCCTTATCTTTATAAATGGGGAATATAACCTAGTCATAACTTCCCTTGACCTTTACTGAAGTGTGGTATAAATCACAGTAGTAGCAAAGAAAGTGACTCTGGATGTATTAATGGCAAATACCCCCCTTGTCATGAATCTGGACTCTGTTATCAAGATTTAGGAATGTAAATCAAACATACCTAGCCCAACCAAGCTATGTAGTGAAGGACCTGAAAGAAATTAGACAGGACCTATAAAATAAATCAGGGAATTAGAAATTATTTAAAGTTTTCAAATTGTAAATTGCCCCGCTATTTTTCAGCCTACTAAAGCTTACTGTCATTAGATGATTTCTTGCTACGTTACCTATATTCAGAGGAAGGCCTGTTGAAAATTCCATGGACTTGTAAAAGATTGTCCCAGTAAAATGGGAAATAATCCTCAAGTTATTAACGAGTTTGAAAAGCAGTGTGTTCTTTAGTCTTTCGTGAGCAGAGCAGTATCTTACAAAATTGAGAAATTGCAAGAATGAAAATGATTTGTGCTGATTTGAAGAGCATCTTGTGTGCATAATGCTGCCTCTCTTTTAAAAGCATTGTTTATTTTTCTTTTTAAATATGTCCCCATAGATGCTTTTGAACATGCTTGTGTTACCTTTTCCTAGATTGGAGAGAGCTGGGCTTGAACAGTAGGCGTGTCCTGCTGGAGCTTCTAGTGCAGGACTCCCTCCCTGAGCACGGCAGGAGCCAGCGCAGGAGCTAGTTATGGAGGGAGCTTAGCATTGGAGTTTTCAAAACAAAATTCAAGGTGATAAACAGTGTTTTCTTCCCTTTCTTTTTAGAATAGATTGTTATCTCATTTGAAAAATCTCATTTCTTAAATGAAGCTGTGCCCAGAAGCCAGGCTCAGGGTATTCTTGAGAGATTTGTATAGAGCCCTTAAAAAATAAAATTTTAGCATTTCCCTTTTCTTCCTTTTCTCCATTAAATACTTTTTCTCTAGTTTACAAATGGCATGGAAAAGGAATTTCCCCTGAGTTTTACATGCTTTTTTTGATGCTTAGACTACAGATAGACTTGAGCTCCTAAGAAAATACAAGGGAAGAACTCCTTGTTTGTTGTGCTGTGCACTTTATGAGTAGTTTGTATCGATATTATGTGGCTGCTTTACTGACAGGCTTGTAAGGCTGTACTTATCTGTCTTTCCTGTAAGGCGGCTGCAGTGCCTTCTGTAGTGTATTTTATTTTGGATAAGGAGAGGTGACATCTTCTGAAAAATTTCAGAGTAACCATAAAAGATTGTTTTAAAGTATGTAGTATTCCTGATGGACTTTTTCACCATTAAACTAGTCTAGGGTCTAAACTTTTACCACTGAAATAATATTGACCAAAAAGTAATTTATAAAAGGGATTTTGTGAATAGAAAATCCACTGTAATCATTTGTACTTAAGTGCACTCTTAAAAAAAGATTCTGTCTCGCTGTCAGATTCTGGTTCCTTAACATCCAATCCCTGGTTGTGTTTGCGATCTGGTAGGACATGCTAAGGCAAGCTAGAAGATAAAATCCCATATACTTCAGTATACGTGTTATATTTATGTCAGTGTTGGAAAAGAAAGAGCAGTTACTTAGTAATAAAGATCCAAGACTTCAACACTGTCAACCTGAAACTTTGTAAATATTTCCTAGATTCTTGTTTGGTGCGGTCACAGCTCTTTATCACACAATGTTATCTTTTACTCATCAGGCAATTTTGGAACTGCTGCACACCCCTCCTCAGATCTCACCTGCCCCTCTCGTACATTCACCTCTCCAGCCTTGTGCACACCTCATTTAGCTTTACTTTGAAACACATTGCAGGGTTCAGGTGACCTCTTCTAAAACTACCTCCTCAGAATGAGGTAATGAATATTTATTTTAAAATATGAAAAGTCAGGAGCTCTAGAACATGAAGATGATTTAAGATTTTAACTTTTATGTGTACTTGTATTTGAGCCTTCTCATTTTGTCCTAAAGGGCATTATACATTTAAGCAGTAATACTGACAAATGTAGCTCAGAGTATCTGAATGTTGTTGAAAGTGGTGCCAGAATCTCTTTAGGGGTACGTTTCAGAATTTTTAACCTTATATCAGTTGCATGAAATTAAATAGTTAATGGTAACACTTCACTAACAGTGATATAATTCTAATTTTTGGTAGGCTTAGCAAGACAGTACATCTTCATAATGAGTTAGCCGCAGCTTCATCACATGCACAGATGCTCCTGTAGAGAGACTGCCCAGTTAAGAGGGTAGAATGATGACCCATTTTGCAAGTTTCTCTTCTTTGTCCAAATTGGCATTCTTTGTGCTAGAAAATCAGCACTTTGAGAATAGCAATTTCAACCATTAGACTAGTAAAAAGCAAAACAAACAAAAAAACCATAGCCAGACATGGAAAGTTTACTGTGAGTATAAACAGCAAATAGCTTACAGGTCATACATTGAGATGGTGTAGGTAAGGCTCTAGAAAAATACCTTGACAATTTGCCAAATGATCTTACTGTGCCTTCATGATGCAATAAAAAAGCTAAAATTTTAGCAGAAATCAGTGATTTGTGAAGAGAGCAGCCACCCTGGTCTAACTCAGCTGTGTTAATATTTTTTAGCGTGCAATTTAGACTGCAAAGATAAATGCACTAAAGAGTTTATAGCCAAAATCATGTTTAAAAAAATGAGAAAACACACAGGTAAATTTTCAGTGAACAAAATTATTTTTTTAAAGCACATAATCCCTAGTATAGTCAGATATATTTATCACATAGAGCAAATAGGTTGAAATCATAATGCAGTGACATTTCTAGAGAAACTTTTTCTACTCCCATAGGTTCTTCAAAGCATGGAACTTTTATATAACAGGAATGTTTGACAGACATTTTAAGAAATTGCTATAGTTTAGGGTTGAAGTCACTATATGCTGGGCAGCAGTCATGTATTAACTAGTGAGAAGGATGAAATTAACATATAGGACAGAATTTGATTTTCTCAGTTCCCATAGTACTGCTGCCAACCTAGACACTGATTTTCCAGAGTTTGAAATATAAACTTGCCTCTCAGGATTTGTTTGCAAATTAAGTGGGACTGTCTTGCTAATGCTGTTCAAGGTGCTCTGGGGGCCAGGTGGAATCTCCAAGGGCTCCTCTATGAGGGGACATAAGGCTGGCGGGTGTGAACTGGACACACTCCATGGTGTGCTTCTAGTATCTTGATTCCTTGCCACCCCCAAGAAAGGCTTCAGCAAGTTCTCTAGACGTTTCACTAAGGAGTATTACTAATGCCCATAGGTTGTTGAGCACCCGAAGGGTGCAGTAGCATCTCTGCCTGATTGTATATTGGCCCCCAGAGGAGAATGAAGTGGCCAGTGTACTCGTTCGTATTCCATGTTGCTAGCTCTGGTAAATTGAAAATACTGGTAAGATTTTTGTTTTATTAGTACACTAGAGAGTAAGCTTTGTTTTGTTGTTTGAAGATAATCAATTTTCACTTCTGTTTGGGAAAACATTTAAATTGAATTTCAGTCCTAAATTTTGCCAGTTGTGGCAATTAACAGTTTCTATCAGGTGTTTTTAATGTAGAAGAGGACAGAAATATAAGTACTAAAATCTTAAATTAAGGTAACAGTGGTTTATTTTAGAACGCTTAGGGGTGGTTAGTCTCTACCTCAAAAAATTGATTGAGTGTATCATTTATTTCAGTATCCACAATTTCAGCTGTTGTTCTTGTAATACTTTTTTTTTAACCTTTTGACCCCCTTTACCCAACTGTTAACTTAGTCTTATTACTAAATCAGTTTCATTAAAATGTTTATTTAGCAGTTTTGACTAATTACAATGATATAACCAGTTGTGCATGAGGACACAGCCAGTGAGTGTATCTGGGTTTTTTTGTGATGCTTTTTTTTCTTAAGAATTCTGTAGGTTGAAGTACTCTTTGAAAACAAAGAACTAAAATATGTTTATTCATGTTAGCATAAAAAAAAAAGATTTGTGCAAACCATCTGCTTCTCCTGGCAGGCTGAGCACATTGTCCAGCACCCGCGAGTGGCTGGTTCTCATCACAGAATCTATGTGAATCGGGCATGAAATTCACTGAAGAGGTAGAGCAGAGGAAGTGTTCTGTTTACAGGAGTGGAGATAGGGCTTATGAGTAAGTTGCTTAGTAAGTTGGTTTTGTTTTGAGAATTATTGTGTTACATTTGTGTGTTAAGCTTTTTTTAACCCACTTGTGTTTTGGTGGAGTATGTGTTACATAAGAGGAAACGTCAGACTAGCATAAGCAACAAAGCTCACAGTCTAGGCACAGGTGTAGACAAAATGGACCAAAATGGGAGGGGGGAGGGTATGGGAGTAAGTCTAGGGGTAGAGAAGAATTGATGTGAGGGTGGGAAATAAACTATAATTACCTGAAATAAAATGTAAGAGTGCAATAAGTGTGCTTTTTATTCTAAGCTGTGAACGGGTTTTTAAAAAAATCATTCCTTCCTAATACATTTGCCTGTGTTCTGTAGCTGATTAAAACCAGCTATGTAAACATATAATGCCTTTTTATTCATGTTAATTACCAACATAAATGGCTAACCTTTATGTCTTATTTATCTTCATGTTATGTTAGTTTACATCCAGGGGTGTGTATGTGTGTGTATGCTGTAAATTTTCCCTCCTTCGTTTGAAAACGCCTTTGTTGGGTCCTGTGTGTTTCCTTTGGCCATGCCACAGGTTATAGTCTCGGCTTGGCCTTCATATCGCCTGATTTGAAGGACTCTATCACAGTGACATAGCTCATTCATTTGTTGTGCACTCTGACCCTTTCCTCACTCAGCAATTGCTGTTTCTTCTAAAATAGGAGTGTACAACTATGAGGAGATTGAAATTAACTGTTTAACATATGTCCCTTTGAATTCTATTTAGTAGTTATGATTGCTCTTTGGTTTGGACCAAGAAAAAGGAAATCCGCGCCCCACCCCCACCCCCCGCCTTTCACTTATTTCTCGGTTTGAGGACAATTCTTCTGTAAGAGAGGGGAAAGGGAAATCCTTCATGTTTTAACTGCAGTGAGTTAATGGCCCCTGGTTTACTCCAAACCTTATGGCGATTCACATTCACATTCCTCTCCTCTCTTGCTGCCAGAGGTTTGGGTTTAGTTCACTTCCGTTCCACTCAAGCATTGAAAAGGTTCTCATGGAGTCTGGGGTGTGCCCAGTGAAAAGATGGGGACTTTTTAATTGTCCACAGACCTCTCTATACCTGCTTTGCGAAAATTACAAAGGAGTAACTATTTTTAAAGCTTATTTTTCAATTCATAAAAAAAGACATTTATTTTCAGTCAAACGGATGATGTTTCCCTCTTGTCCCTTAATCCTCAGTGTTTGCTTGAATTTTTTTTTTTTCAATTCTTCCCCATCCCCGCTTCTTGATACTTTGGGTTCTCTTTCCTGCTCAGGTCCTTTCACTTGTATTTTGGAGTTTTTCTCATGTAAATTTGTACAATGGAAAATATTGTTCAGTTTGGATAGAAAGCATGGAGAATTAAAAAAAAAAGATAGCTGAAATTCAGATTGAAGAAATTTATTTCTGTGTAAAGTTATTTAAAAACTCTGTACTATATAAAAGGCAAAAAAGTTCTATGTACTTGATGTGAATATGCGAATACTGCTATAATAAAGATTGACTGCATGGAGAAGTCTTTATCAAGATCATTTTTCTAGCACCGTCACATTCAATAATGGAAGTAGGGCTTTTGACGGTCAGTTCTATCAGGCAGTGGAGGAACTAAGAAGTGTACATTGTTTCCAGTTACCGCTTGGTGGGCAGAGGTATTTATGAGAAATATTTTAAAAGTAAATTGTCAAGATGAATACCTAGTACATTGCACCGGCTATACTTTTGTAGCAGAGAGTTTTTTGTCTGGTGTTGGTGATTATTCTCAAGCATTTTATGATGCTGTGATCTGACTGTTCCCCTCCAGTGGCTCAAATGAAGTGTGTGCTGTAATAGAGTCGTTTAAGTAGTAGTCTGTAGAAGTTCCATTTTCTGAACTTTGGTATCTTTCAAACTTTTTTGACACAACTTCCAGTAATACATTTTCTATAGGAACACAGTACACACAAATACATGTATTTGAAACTATGCACTCCTGTTTTACACTTTTTTTTTTTTAATGCTGGCTACCTTCCCCCATGAGTTGATTTTATGCATTTGATTTCATAAAGCTTGAAAGACACCTAGAATATCATCAAGGCTATGTCATATTACCAGGCAGTTTCCAGAAGAGAGGTAAACAATTTTAAGACTTTACCTGGAAACCCTATGTCTGAGAAAAATATAAACAGAAAAGTCTTCAAGATGGTACATATTTGAGGAATCTGGTTTCTGGTCTTCATGCCTCTCCAGCAAATCATAAAATGCTGTTGAGACAAGTATTTTCTCTGAACTGCAGTTTTCTCATCTGAAAAATGTAATTCTGTAATAATTACAGAAACTCATTTTTAAATAACCTTCATACATGATTACAGTAGGGTAATTGTGGATTCATTTCTTAGTGCATTATTCTATAAGTTTTCCTTAAAATTTAGTCCAGAATTATGAATCCTTTAATTATTGTGATAAAATTCTATTATAAAGAACCCTACCATACTAGCTCTTCTGAAATTTTATCAGGGGCTGTAGTAATTGGGCCTACTGTCTGGGCTGTGTAGTTCTCCTAGATTCGTAAAATGTTAGAGCCAAAAGAGTTCTTAAAGATTACATGGTTTAGGGACTTCCCTAGCAGTCCAGTGGTTAGGACTTTGCACTTCCATTGCAGGGGACCCAGGTTCAATCCCTGGTTGGGGAACTAAGATCCCGCAAGCTGCGAGGCACGGCCAAAAAAAAGTTTATATGGTTCAGCCTTAAAGATGTCATGGTCCCCTCATCAGCTACTGAATATGAATCCCCAGGGATGACTTCCCCAGTCTCACGTAGCCAGGACTCAGTCATGACTTTTGTTTCCAAGATCACTACTATGCATTTTATATATACTGTATGTATAAAATTCTGTTGTGGTTGTGATGATGGTTATAGTGAAATTGAGTGACATTGAGTTTGTAGCTAGAAATGGATATTGTGCCAGGTGTATTCCACTTGCTCCTTCTGTCTTCTCCAGGCAAGCAAGCCCACTGCTCATGCAGGTGATAAAAGGTAAAGGCCCAGTTGCTCAGGCAGGTCAGTACCAGCTCAGGCAGCTCCTGTTTCCTCCACTGTACACTGATGTCCTGCTGAAGCTCCTGATGAGATTGGTGGCAAAAGGTACCCGGGTCAGCCTCTTCTACAGAATAGTTCTAGAAGCAAGTGGAACCAAGATGACTTCTGTACCTTCCCAGAACATGCACAACAGGTGTTCCTTACACAGTACCTCCCTGGTCTCATAACTTTATTAGGTAATCAATTGTGGTGTTTACACTCAAGTTTCCATAGGAAACTTAGTAAACTTACAAATTTATGTGTTAAAATTTGACACTTAATATTCTGTTGCCATCAATAATTCTTTCACTGCCTACCTTTCCATTTATGAAGGTACATCTGTCCGTCTACCAGGCTACACACTAAAACTGACTTAGAATGTACTTTTAGCTACTCAATAGGAAGGAAGAAAAGGTCATCCTAAATGTCTGTCTTGCTTTAGGCAGAGGAGAAGGGTGGTACTGCATCTGCTGAAATAATGTTTACAGTTTATCTCCATATGGAGGCTTTTCTATAAAAATCAAACCAGGATTCAAGGGTCACTATAAACTTAGCTTAGACCCAATGGTCTAGAAATAATAGTTGCTTCCATTCCTTCATGCCAGATGTAGTTCTGAGGGCTTTATGTGCTAACTCATTTAATCTATTTAATCCATTTTACAAATGAGGATATTGAGGCACAGTTCAAATAAGTAGTCTGCCCAAACTCACAGCAAGTAAATAAATGGTAGAACTATGAGTCAGACCAAGCAAGTTTGGCTCCAGAGCCTGAGTTCCTCAAGCACTGTGCCAGTTTTTCAAACTGCAGATTGAAACCCATTAGTGGGTAGTAAAATCAGTCTCAACCATTTTTTAAAATGTAGAATAGAATATAAAAGAAAATGTAACATAAGTTTTCATAAAACTTTTGTATTATTTATGTACGTATGTATACATACACACACACACTAGGTCACAATGTAAAATTATTTCTTAGAGTAGGTAGGTCATGATCAAAAAGCTTTACACCATCTACCTCACTCAGACCTACAGCCAGACAACCAGGATTTGAACCTCAGTTCTCTTAACTTGTAGCTTGGGCAAGTTACCTATCTACAGCTCAACTTACTCATCTATAAAATGGAAAGAATATGAGGAGGGTGGAGGCCTATTCCTTGGGCCGGGACAATTTCTATATCAGTGCAAACTGATTTCACAGCCCAGGTATGGAAAAGAGGATCCAGCATGTGGAGGCCACACTGGCCAACTTTAGAAGACTGCTAGTTTTAAAGTTATCTTTTAATTCAAGTCAAGGAACTCTGATTGATTTCTAAGGGAAAAAGCTAATGGGATTATCCTACTTGAGTTCACTGTTACAGATTGTATTCCTTCCCGAAACAACTTTCATCGATCTGATCGGGGCGGGGGTGGCAGGGGGTGGCGGCAGTGGAGAACAACAAACAAATGAAACCTAAAAAGTACACAGAGATCTAATGGTCTTTTAAAGACCATAAATATTTATCAGGTGAGACAGCACACTCCTACACAGGTAAGTAAACACAAAACCAAGGAGAGCCTCAGACACCCTGTGCAACAGGCTCAGGACTGCTGGAGCTGGCAGCGGGGAGGGTGAAACTGTTCCACTTAGCTTTTGTTGCCATTATGCCCACTCTAACACCTAGGGAGAACCAAAGAGGGGGTGTGAAAAACCTAAGAACTAGGAACTCGAATTGGACCACCCCCTGCCTAGAGCCTGTCAGAAGCTTTCTCACTGCATTTAACATAAAATCTAAACCTGCAACCATGACCTATTATCTCATCTAGTCCCACCCTCTCCTCCCCTGCTGGAACCCCACTGGACTTTCTGTCCCTTAAACATGGTGACCTTGGTCCCTCCCTAGACCTTGGTTCTCGCTATTCCTTGTCCCTGGGGCACTCTTCCTTCAGACCCCGCACAACTGGTTCCTGCTACTTGTTCAGGTTTCAGCTCAGATGTCTTCCCCGCCCACCAAAAAGATCAGCATCAACCATCTCTAGCACCCAATGTTATTTCCTTCACAGCAATTAGTAAATCTCACTTACCTACTTGTCTGCCCTTCCTAAAATCTACGTTCTCATCTGTCTTGTTTAGCATGGTATTCCCAACACCTAGGTGGTCAAAAACAATTAAAAATATGAATAGTTTTGCTTCTGGGCAAGTCATTAAGCTACTCTACTGCTTTTTTTTTTTTTTTTTTGCGGTACGCGGGCCTCTCACTGCTGTGGCCTCTCCCGTTGCGGAGCACAGGCTCCGGACGCGCAGGCTCAGCGGCCATGGCTCACGGGCCCAGCCGCTCCGCGGCACGTGGGATCTTCCCGGACCGGGGCACGAACCCGTGTCCCCTGCATCGGCAGGCGGACTCTCAACCACTGCGCCACCAGGGAAGCCCCTCTACTGCATATTTTTATCTGTAGATAGAAGAAAATTCTGTCCTACCTCCTCTCAGAATTGTGATGCTACAGAAGGTTGAAAAATACTTTTGAAACAAATTTTTGAAAAACTACATCATCCTATTTCACCCTTATCTCACATTCCTCTGGTCCCTAAGAATTCCTAGTTAGACGTGTGTCTTAAGAGTTCCACAAATGGTGACTCAACACAATGCCCAGCCCACAAGAGATACATAAACACAACAGATGGACCACACCGACTTCTAACCTCTGTATACTTGGGCAAGAATACACTAGCAGTAGAGAAATGGCAAGAGTTTCACATAAACTGTCAGTGTACATACGACTAAGACATCAGCTAAGGAGGTAGGCAGTATGGCACTGTAGTTAAGCGTGGGGTCAGACCTAATGTCATCACTCATCAGTGTGTGACCCTAAGCAAGTTACTTCATTTCCTTGAACCTCGATGTCCTCACTGATAAATGGCACTAAGGCTTATCTATCGACACCATGGGGTACCCAAGAAGACCCACCAAAAGGGCTATAACCAGTTAGCACAGCAGTTGGGAGCACAGGAAATAATCCATAAAGGGTGGTTGTCATTACCAGAAATATCCATAACTCAGTTCCTCATTCTTGACCAAAACTTTAATTTACAACTTAATATACAATATGATGTCTGTAACTTCTTGAAATTCTCACCTGGCTCCTGCAAGGAAACAAAAGTGAAAAGCTTTAAGAACTTTTATTTTCAATAATTCAAATCCATCATTCTTGTTCATTCAGTTATTCAAGCATTCATTGAGCATCAGTCATGTGAGTAGCCTTGCAGAAGAGTCAAATCACCTTGCAGATTTCTCAAAGGGTTTACAGTCTAGCCATTAAAATGTTAATGACTATGTACAGGAATACTGGAAAATATGTAAGAAAATAGGAAGAGGCTAGTGCTGGCAGAGCCGTTAACACTAGGGAAACAAGAGGCCTGGTAAGGACCTTGTAAGGCCTGGTAAGGACTCTTGTCCATAGGAAAGCCAGCGACAGGAAACGAGCTATAAAACAGCTTCACTGTTTGCCCCACCACCACCTGCCCCCATATACACAAAACTGCTGTGATTTTCGTGTCAATAAGCTCCTTCGAATTAAAATAATAGCAATACTAGTAGTATGATTTAATGGGAACACTTAACTGTCTCTTAATGCTTCCTATCCTTTAAAACAATTTCCAAGGTATTTTGAATGATGGCAATTATTAATGTGCAATGGTTAATTTTTTTGTTTTACATTTTTATTGTGGCGTAATTAAAGATAAAATGCGCAGATATTAAAGGTCTAGTTCAACGAATTCTGACAACTGTATGTACCCACATAAACCCAACCCCCAACTCTACCTCTATAGATGAGTATCACCAGTTTGCAGACTTCATACAAATGGAATCATTCGTTATTAGTACTTTTAAGTGACTCACTTTTTGCTTAATATGATGATTTTGAGATTTACCTAAATGACTGTCTTGTAACTTGTTTTTTGGTTTTTTTGGGTTATTTTGCGGTATGTGGGCCTCTCACTGTCACGGCCTCTCCCGTTGCGGAGCACAGGCTCAGCGGCCATGGCTCACGGGCCCAGCCGCTCCGCAGCATGTGGGATCCTCCCGGAACCCACGAACCCACGTCCCCTGCATCGGCAGGCGGACTCCCAACCACTGCGCCACCAGGGAAGCCCGGTAACTTGTTATTTTTAATTGCTGAATTATTACTTAATTGAAAGAATATACTGTAATATGTTTATCCATTCTCTCACTGATGTACAATTAGGTCTAGTTTGGAGATACTAAGAAAAAAATTGCTATGAAAAATTCTGTACGGATGGCCATATTATTTTCATTTCCCTTGACTAAATGCCTAGGAATAAAATCGTTGAATCCTAGGATATACGTGTTTAACTTCATTAGAAACTGCCAAATAATTCTACAGAATTGTTGTACCTTATTACATTCTTACTGGCAAATACTCCAGCTGCTCCATACTGTCATCAGCATTTAAAGTTGCCAGTCTTTCTAGTGGGTACAAATGATATCTTGCTGTAGTTTTAATTTGCATTTCCCTGGTGATTAATGATATAAGGGCCTTTTTTCATGTGATTACTGGCCATTCATATATCTTCTTTTGTGAAGTATCTGCTCAAGGCCTTTGCCCATTTTTCAGTTGGGTTGTTCATCTAATTTTTGTTGATTATAGAGGTTCTTTACATATACTAGATACAAGCCCTTTGTTGGATATAGCTGTATTTTTTCCCAATTAGTGGCTTGTATATTTATTTCCTTAATGGTATCTTTTGATAGCAGAAATTTTTGATTAGGCTAAATCAAATTTATCAAGTTTTTTTTACATCAGTGCTTTTGTGTGCCTTAGGATTATGAAGATACTCTCTTGTACTTTCTTTTAGAAGCTTTAAGAGTTTGGGTTTTATTTTTAGGTCTATTATCCATGCAGTGATTAATTTAAAATCATATTAAATGAGAATATTTAAATGAGTCTTAATCCGTGAGGGATTTGTGGGGAAAGGAACTCCTCCTAGTATCTTCCTTTTGAAAGAAAAACTCTCTCTGACTTCCTGATTTGGAAAATGAAAGGGCCACAACCTTTTACTGTTTAAAGAGTTAATTCCATGCCATTCCATATTGTAACATTCCCATATGCTCGAATTTTCCATTAAAAAGCTGAAGGTAGAACACTGTACTTTTTTTGCAACTACAAACGAGCTCCGTATCTATCTTGTCCATCACTTTAAGCCCTGTGCATTGTTGGTGCTTAAAAAGTCTTTGATCGGGCTTCCCTGGTGGCGCAGTGGTTGAGAGTCCGCCTGCCGATGCAGGGGACGCGGGTTCGTGCCCCGGTCCGGGAGGATCCCACATACCGTGGAGCGGCTGGGCCCGTGAGCCATGGCCGCTGAGCCTGCGCGTCCGGAGCCTGTGCTCCACAACGGGAGAGGCCACAGCAGTGAGAGGCCCGCGTACCGCAAAAAAAAAAAAAGTCTTTGATCAATAGATAGATAAATGGGACCCTAAACTGTAACATAGCTTAGGAAAAAATAATTTTTTTAAACATGAAAAGGAAGATGAGACTGAAAGTGTGTATGGGGAAAAGGGGGCAGAATGACAGCGAATGTGAAAATACCAAAGACAGAAATTAGACATGATGTGTTAATTGTTCTTCATGCTGTTATAAAATGCACTGTTTCTTTGAGACCATGATAGGTGCAAAGTCAAAACATGTTTACTGACAAAAGTTAAATATAACTTTAAAAAGAAACTTGGAGTATACTCACTTGGAAAGAGTTGAGTCTACATTTTCAGTCTTCATCATCAGGAAGGATACCTAATTCTTCATCCGTCCACTGGGAAGGATCTGGATATGGAAAGTGGCCCTAATGACAACCAATTAAAAACAAAGTTCATGAATCTATACTTCACGCAACTAAAAGAATCTACACTCCATACAACTGGTTACATTTTAAAAGAAATGTTGAAAAAAAATGTGATTAAAAAAAAAAAATCCTTGGGCTTCCCTGGTGGAGCACTGGTTGAGAGTCCGCCTGCCAATGCAGGGGACAGGGGTTCGTGCCCCGGTCCAGGAAGATCCCATATGCCGCGGAGTGGCTAGGCCCGTGAGCCATGGCCGCTAAGCCTGCGTGTCCGGAGCCTGTGCTCCGCAGCGGGAGAGGCCACAACAGTGAGAGGCCCACATACCACAAAAAAAAAAAAAAAAAAAATCCTCGACATACCACAGGAACAAATTTTCCTTCAACTATCTGATGGTCCAGCTATTCTTCAATCTGTTCAAAATGAGCTATGGCCTGAATTTTTAAAGCCTGGCCATTTTGGAGCTACTGGCCTCAGCCAGCATTTGAGTATGTGTTTGTGATGGAGCGTGGGCGGTACAGAGACAACAGATTGCAAAGATACCCCATGTCACAACAATCTCTTGAATCCCTGACAAAACATAAGGTCTCAAACTGTCCTGTCATTCCTGCTGGGAGATTTGGAAGCATTCCTTGTGTATCCTGATCTAGGGCATATTCGGCTGCATCATTATCTCATGCCAGACAGCCACACAATAATCCTGACAGCTGACCTACAGTGAGATAAAGGTGTCTATGTGCTGCCACAGACACCATGCAGCTCCTTACTGGGTGACAAGGGCACAGAGAAATTGTAAGAGAAGTGGGATATTAATCAACCTGATGCTTCTAGAACTCACTGTATAAATTTAAGATTTTTCCCTATCCTAAAAAAAACCCCAAATTTACTAAAATTCAAAGTATTCTGGATCAATAAGCATGGATTTCAACGGCTTCAAGGTGTAATTTCCTAGAGAATAGCATCTGTGCAAATGTGATTAAAAGCTCCTTTTGAGGCCAATGACATGTTAGAAAGTCACCAGTAACTAACTTCCCTCCTGAGGGAAATTAGCCCACATCCATCCCACCTCAACCTTGGCTGCCTTGGGCCTCTGGACAGACTAAATAACATTTATCATTTAAAGGCACTTAACTGTGAAACTTAACCTGCTGATGAACCCCTACCCTAGCTTGGAAAGTAAGAGAATTAGCTTCTATAGTCTCCCTTCCAAATATGGCCACCAAACAGAAACCGTAAGACATGGGCCACCTACATGTAATATACATCCTTGAGTGGAAAAGGTCAGAGACAATATGTTTCATAAAATAAAAGGATTCCTGCATATACATAAGGACAATGTGGTGAAGAGATACATCCAGGTTGAAAAACAGTCTACAAAGAGACAAAAGAAACAAGGTAAGCTATTAAGAGATCTTCCCTCCCCGCACCCAAAGAAGGACAAGAATTCTTCTCCTGCACTTACCAGCACGGCATCTGAGTCATGCCAAAAGCGCCAGAGAATCCAGAACCACATGGTTGCACTGAAGAACTCTGCCTTGATCACCTGGGATCTGGTCAGCTGGGGAAACTGCCTGTACTGGGGCTCGATATGCACACCTCCACCAGCACTACGTGACAAAACGAAAATGTTAAGCAGCTTGCTATATCTTCAAAGTATGAACTCATCCAAAACTTTGAGTTACAGCCAGAAACTGAACCGTTCTCATCTCCTCCACGAAATACAGAATGGCAGTGCTCCACAGTCCCTCGAAATACTCCTTTTTCAGAAGTTGCTTTAAACTTGTACAGCAGCAAAAACTGGCCTGAATTGACAAGAGGCTAATTATGATTTTCATTTAGTGAATATTCATGTAGTTTACACCAGAAATCTGAATGTGCTGATTATGGGGTACTGGCCCCAAGGGTTTTGATTAAGGAATCATAAACCTGTAGTAGTAAGTCACTAGCTTATCCAGAAAAACAAATCAAATTTATTTTGTCTGGTTAGCCATCTATTTCAAAGGCAAATTATGTCTCTGCTCTATTACAATCTTTATTAAAAGACCACTTTATGGAAAAGAGGACTCAGCAGACCCTTTTTAATAAGCCAAAAGCACTGAGCAAAGCAAAGAGTCTTAAACAGTAAGTTTGAACAAGCCTTTCTGGTTTTTGTGTTTTCATTTACTGTTGACAAGGTGAGGAATATGATCCATATGAGCTATCCTCATGTTATTCAGTTGGACTGTAATTATCACAGGTTGAATCTAATTCAAATAATAGAATTTGTACTTAATGGGGCTACTTTCAAGTCCTATTCAGCAGCTATATGTATGCTATTACATACAAATGGATATAGAAAATTTAAAGAGAGGAACTTCCCTGGTGGTGCAGTGGTTAAGAATCCGCCTGCCAATGCAGGGGGACACAGGTTCGAACCCTGGTCTGGGAAGATACCACATGCCACAGAGCAACTAAGCCCATGCACCACAACTACTGAGCCTGCGCTCTAGAGACCACAAGCCACAACGACTGAGCCCACGTGCCACAACTACTGAAGCCCGTGCGCCTAGAGCCCGTGCTCTGCAACAAAAGGAGCCACCGCAGTGAGAAGCCTGCACACTGTAATGAAGAGTAGCCCCCATGCGCCACAACTAGAGGAAGCCCAGCGCAGCAACGAAGACCCAACGCAGCCAAAAATAAAAATAAATAAGTAAAAAAAAGTTTCCGTCAAGCATCACTGCTTTACACCCTGAATTTATCATACTGTTTCTGTATGCCAATTATATTTAACAGTACTATTCAGGATCTATCTGCATATAGATACTACATTATATAAATAAACCATGGGGGTGGGAATTCAATATATTGTAACAACAGGCTTCCTCTTTGATAGGTTTTGGATATAGCCTAGTAATAAGTACCCATCAGTTAAACTCATTTAAAATAAGATTTGAGAATTATAGTTTAAACCCATTCCCAGAAACTCTCCACATTTAATTACTGCTAGAGTGACATGTTTTAACTATGACTTGAAATAAGTGGATCACTGACTGCATGGTGGAAATCTTTTTGAACAAAATTTGAAACACTGCAATTAGAGAAAAGGAATGCATGACATAACAACTGCCATGATTAAGGAATATAAAGATTCCACAAACATCTAATGTTATGTTCCAAGACAGGTTGTTAACTGCACTATGACAAACTAGACAAGCTGAACAACCCTCCAAATTGAAACAACTACAATAGTAGTTGAGATTTTTTTTTTAATTTTTAATAAATCATTGACCAGACACAAAAGAAAGGAATCTACCAAGGGCAAAACCCAAGTTAAAACAAGACCTGGAAACTACATGAGCACTGAAGCTGGCCTTTGCCCTGAGGGTTTCTGCTGTTCCCCAGACTCTGTGACCCTCTACCTGGACAGCTGTGGGAGACAGGAGAAGCCTGGGGCCCACCCAAGATGAGAAGTCTAATTACTAGACCCCTGAAGAAAGCTGCAGCCCCATGATATAAGAGTGAATGGGACATAAACCTGCCATGAAGAAGGGAACAGGAATTTGTTACCAGTAGCCAGTCCTCAGGTGGTGCACCCAAATTCACACTACCTGGGTTTTGGACATTATGGTCCAAGAGAACCTCAGCCCAAGATTTTAAAGTGGTATTGGATTCTCTGAACCCTTGAGAAGCAAGACCTCAAAGAATTCTGACAGATAAAAGTTCCAGGAAAAGCTCACAGTCAAAAATTACAAGGAAATAAGACACTATGAGTGAGAATCAGCAAAACAACAGACAGCAGTATCAAATATACAAGACTTGAAAAATGGATAATTACAATTTATAATACAGAAAACACGTTATTTTTAAATAAAAGTTTGAAATTAAGAGCAAGGAACAAGAAACTATAAAGATCAAGTTTGAAACAACAGAATTTCTAGAAATAAAATGTAATCATTTGAAATAAAAAGGATTAAAGCCAGGATTAGACACAGCTAAAAAATATGAAAAGAGGTTAGAAGGATGAGAAAACCCAACATATGCCTAATTCGTGTCCTATAAGAAGAAAACAGAATGGGGAAGAAACAATATCCAAAGAAATAATGGCTGTTTCAACCCAGGATTTTTAAGTGTCAAGTTTAAAAAAAAAAAAAAAAGCAAGCACCATAACGCTCCGTTAAAGTTACCTTTTTAAAACATAAACCAAGGATGAATTGGGAGATTGGGATTGACATATATACACTAATATGTATAAAATAGATAACTAATAAGAACCTGCTGTATAAAAAATAAATTCAAAAAAGAAAAATAAAATGCAATTAAAAAGTGTAAAAAAATAAAACATAAACCAGATCATATTACTTTCCTGCTTAAAGCCTCCAACAGCCTGCCATCATTCTTAGAATAAGGCCTCGTCCTACAAGGCCCACCCTAATCGGGGCCCTGCTTGTCTCTCTACCACTGTCCCCTCACCAGCTTGCTTGCCCATTATCAGCACTCAGAACCTTTTCACTTGCTGTCTCCTTCGTCTGAGAAGCTCTTCCTGGCATTTTTGCATGGCTGACTACTCATCACTTAGGTCTTAGTTCAAATCAAACCTTCAGGCCTGCATTCCCACATCATCCTAGGTGTAATGACCCACCCACCAAACCCAGACACTCTCTAGATTAATCCCGTTTTCCTTCATGCCACTTAAGAGTACCTAAACATGTTCTTTTCTACTTGTTGTGTCCTCTCTCCAGAATGTAAGCTCCATTATCTTTCCTGTATTCTGCTCTATCCCCAGCACCTAGAAAGACTCTCCAGAAAACCTACTGACTTAAGTATTCACATACTGTGAAATACGGTGTGTTACGAAGTACCAAGACCTCAGTGAAGAGGAACACCCCCTACTCTTCCCATGTAGGTCAAGGGCTATTGTTGGTGGCTCTCCATCTCTGTCCTTGCTCAGGTCACACATGCCTTTTCCTTCTCGCCACCCCACACCTGTCCCAGCTCCATATCCTTAATAGACACATGGCTTTAGGCAAGTCACTCCCTTTAATTTTCCTGGTCTCAGTTAAACAATACTTGTATGATCCTTAGTAGGCACCAGCAGCCCTCTTAAAACATTTTAGAGATTTGTTATTCATTTACTTACCTGGAAGTCAACATTATTATCCCCATTATGTGGGTGAGAAAACTCAGTTACTAAAAGATCATGAAACTTTTCCAAGCCATACAGCAAAAGTGTGGCAGAGATGAGATTTGAACAGAGGCACTTTGGGGGCTGAATCCTGCTTTTAACCACTATTCTGCACTGCCTCTTGGTAAAGTGTAGATCATGGTGTAAGGGGCCTGGCCCATTACTTGGAGAAATCCAATGTACTATTTTCAGTCCTGCTCTTACTGAACCTCTCTGCACTACCAACTCCTTTTTGGTAGACGTGCCCTCCCCTGGCATCCCAGCACTATGCTCTCCAGCCGGTTTCTTGGGCTACATCATGGGTGACTCTGCTTTTGCTCACTCTTTAAATTCTGGTGTTGCAAAGGTGAACTCTATAGTATGGGACTTTGGGTGATAATAATATGTCAGTGTAGGCTCATCAACTGTAACAAATGTACCGCTCAGGTTGGGGATGTTGATTATGCAGAAAGCTATGCACGTGTGGGTCTGGGGATTTATGGGAAATCTCGGTACCTTCCACTCAATTTTTATGTGAACTTAAAACTGCTCAAAAAAATACTTTAAAAAAAGAAAAATTCCGATATTGCCCAAGCATTTACTTTTGGCTCTCTTCTCTTCCCACCCTTCGGCACCCTCTACGGGTGATTGCCTCCACGCCCGTGCCTTAAAGAACTAATCCTCTAGTCTGCAACCACAGTAATTTTTCAGAATTAAAATCTGGCCGCATGGCGTCTGATTAAAACCTCTCAACGACCGATTATCGCCTGCGTTCGAAACCCCTGAGCCAGGAATAAGGACTCTCTACCATTCCTTCCCTACGTCCCAAGGTCTCCTGTCTCACCTTGCCTCGAACTTGACGCTTCAAACTACACCGGCAACGCCCTCGCCTCCCCAACTCCTGCTCTCGCTTCCAGATTAGCTCCAGCCGTCTCCACGTTCAACTGTCAACTTCCCGAGGGCAGGCTCCCGCTGGGGCAGGGCCCGCCCGAAACACACTTCAACCTGCCGAGCGAGCAGAGCTCCCCGCCCCACGTCCCCCCTCTCCCGGGCCCCTGGGTCACGCCGTCAGCCTACGAGTCCCAGCATGCCTCGGGGTGGAGGTCGCTGCAGACCCGGATCTGCCCGTGGAGCTCGGCGTCAAGGTGAGGGCGTCCAGAAGACTGGCACTTTTCGTTAGATGCAGGCGAAGCCCCCACCGCAGGCAATACTCACTGACGGACTCCAGTCGCCCGCGCGGGTACGCCCCTGAAGAAGTGGCCTCCAACGCGCGCTAAAGGCGCTAGACGCGTCAAAGCCGACATGCCAGCCCACGTTCGGTCAGCAGTCCCCAGGCCGCACCGCCGCTCACGTCACTTCCTTTGGCGCCCCTCCCAGTGACGTCAGTGGCGTCGCCCCGCCCATCTCCCGGAGGGGGAAGTACGGAGGCGGGCGGGGAAGGAGGAGTTCCTGCCTCAAATTAGCGTCGGAAGCCCTTCCCAGCTGTGAGGACCGTGGGGTCGCTAGCTGAGCTCGCCCTCCACACGGAGGGACCCGGCTCGCCGTGGCTTTGATGGTCAGGAGGCGCCTCTGAAAGGCGAATGGTGTAGCCGGCCCTGGAGAACTCGGCTAGGTGGAGCCCCCGGATGGGCGTGCCGCGCCTCGGCGCTCCGCTTCAGGAGCCCCTCTTCGTTACGCGGGCGCTAAGAAACTTAACCCTGAAACTGAGCTCGCTCCTCCTTACCGGTGCTTATCTAGATGCTGTTACCCGACCTGGACCCGCCTCCCTGCCTGCTCTCCTGAATTAACTACCCTTCCAGACCGTGTTAGGAGGCCACATCCTTTCTGAAACAGTATGTCCTTCCCAAAGCTAGTCCACTGTACTCTTCTTTCCTGCAAAGGCTCAACGGTTTCTTTAAAGCCTTCATGGTTGTATTGTTCTGCAAACTTGAACTTGATTACCAAACCCGCAGCCAGTCGTTCCCACATTTCAGCACCTGGACTGGTGGTATCAGAATCCCCTGAGGAGCCCGACCCCAGATATTACGTCTGGATTAGGGCCAAGGAATCTGCCTTTTAGCAGGCCTCCAATATATGCCTCCTTGATCCTGAGCCAGCTCTGGATTCTTGGCTTTTGTCTCTTAATATTGCCTTCTATTAATTGCCTGGACGAACTCCAAACTTCTCTAGACACCCCTCCCCCAGTCCCCAAATTCTTTTTTTTTAATTTATTTAATTTATTTTTGGCTGCGTTGGATCTTCATTGCTGCGCGCGGGCTTCCTCTAGCTGCGGCGAGCGGGCGCTACTCTTAGTTGCGGTACACAGGTTCTCTTGTTGCGGAGCACGGGCTCTAGGCGCGCGGGCTTCAGTAGTTGTGGTTCGCGGGCTCTAGAGCGCAGGCTCAGTAGTTGTGGCTCGCGGGCTCTAGAGTGCAGCCTCAGTAGTTGTGGCGCACGGGCTTAGTTGCTCCGCGGCATGTGGGATCTTCCCGGACCGGGGCACGAACCCGTGTCCCCTGCATTGGCAGGTGGACTCCCAACCACTGCGCCACCAGGGAAATCCCCCCAAATTCTTAAGGTCCCCACTTACAAGTTATAGTTTTCCGAAGAACTTCCAGATTTGATTAAATTATAAACTTAACCTGCCAGCCTCACACCTTGGAGATTTCTCTTTGAAATGGATCACCTGCCCAGCACTGAAGACTTCACACTGAGTCATAAGCATGAAAAATAGGAAACTTATGGAGAGAAATGCAGACCTGAATTTAGGGATTTGAGTGCATTGAATATAACTGACACTACTTCTGTGGCAAGATATGGGCCTCCATGTGCCCTGTAACTGGAAACCCCTCTCCCTGGAGAGAGGCTTACATAAAGCTATGATTACTATGATGCCCTTCTGAAGAACTTATTGATTGACCTCTGGCCTTATAGGACTCATCCCCCCACACCCTGCCTTTTCCTGCCCTCCTAACTTCTAAGTATATAAATTATAGGAAAGAATTTACTATTTTCTGGGTGCAAGTTGACTTCCCAGCTGACATGCAATAGTGTGGCTTTCTCTGGGCTACCATTCACCGCTTACCCTTCCTAGTGACATATACAAATCACTAAGATAGGAAGTTCACGAACTGGGAGGACAGGGCTTTCCATCCTTCCTAAGGGAGCTCTCTGCCCATATTATACAGCTGCCTGCCTTGCTCCCAGGAAAGAACAATGCTGTGATTCCTAGGCCACAAAAAAAAAAAAAAAAAAAAAACACAGCATAAACACACAAACAAAAAAGCATAGAACTTGAGTCTGAAGATCTGGAGTTCAAACCTCAGCTCTGCCAACAATTAGCTCTATGAATTTGGACAAGTCACTTCTGCAAGCCTCAGTGCCTTTCATCAGCCATTTAACAGAGTACCTGGCCCACAGCGTGTGCTCAGCAATTTTTTATTGCTTTGTTAATACTTTCCTTTCCTGGTAGCAAAAGCTTTTCAGGTAAACTAAAATTCATTTACCTTCCCCTTCTTGCTGAATTACAAAATAAAAAGTTTTAACTTTAATGCTGGCTTGTATTTAAAGCAATATTGTTCTATAGACCATTTATGGGGTCCTTAGCTCTAATGTTTTGCATCACAAATTCTGATTTTTTGCTATAAAAAGTTTAGGGTCCCAATCAGTAAACTATTTTGACTATGTAACAGCGACGCATATTTGTTTTGCAGACATGCTCTAAAAACTCCAAGGGCAAATATCCCTGACTGCCTTTTGCAGGTTGCATGACGACCCTCTTTTTGGTTCTCAGATAAGCACACTATTTGAATGGATGCATTTTAGAAGGTGAGGGAAAGGATGCCAAGCCCAGACACTGAGCTCTCAGCTTCGACATGCAAATCAGATTCAAACTGTGAGATAACAAACTGTGAGGACAGACTCTAAATGGCCTAACATTATAGCATCTAACCCCAAATCAAAAATCTATCCCATAGCTAGAAATAGAGAACACAGCAGGGGGATGAGGAAGGAAGGAAAAAAAAAAAAAAGAAGGAAAAAAAAAAAACTTGTTTACACAACTTCATGTTTATTTAATTTTCTACTTTTTAATTTTTATTTTATTTTTTTGGTTTTTGGTTTTGGGGGGGCTTTTTTGGCCTCGCTGCAAGGCTTGTGGGTTCTCAGTTCCCTGACCAGGGATTGAACTCGGGCCACAGCAGTGAAAGCACCGAGTCCTAACCACTGACCACCAGGGAACTCCCTAATTTTCTACTTTTAAAGGCTTGATTGATCTCCCTTTCCCTATAAGCCTTGTAAAGAAGAAAGGAACTTATCTTTCCAGTGGTTTTAGTAACACAGAAATGAATCTTGTTCTTTCTACTTTAGTGGGATTGAGCTGTGATCTTCCTTCGGGGAGATGCCCTGCTGGACACTTTATCTACTTATACCCAAGAATTAGCCTTTTCTCCTTATGAAGATGAACGTATAAATCAAGTTTAGCATTTTTAAGATACTTATTTTAAAAATCAGCAAATTATCTGTATTAAAGCACAACCATTAACCATTTTTCTCCTCTTCAATCCAGCCTGTGTTCGTTTTCTGTTGCTGCTGTAATGGCTCCTGAGGAACTGAGGCCCTCGGTCCAACAGCCCACAAGAAGCTACATGAGTGAGCTTGGCATCAAACACCCCCGTGGAGCCCCAAGATGCCTGCAGGCGTGCAAGACTAAGCAGAGGACCGGCTGAGCTGCACCCACATTTCTGACCTGCAGAGACTATGAGGTAACAAGTGTAGTCGTATTAAACTGTTACATTTGGGGGTAGTTTGTATGCAGTGATAGATAACTAATACATGTCACAGTGGGTTGATGGAATCCACTGGCTTTAAAGGAAGGCTCAGTGGTGCTGATGTTCGCTCAGGGAGACACCTGCTGTATGTCAGTGCCCCCTTCTCTCGCCCCACAGTGTAACTGTATGTGCCGAATGTCTGGCTGGCTTGCCCATGAGGAGGGAGCTGAACAGGGCTACCTGGAGCCCCCCAGCACCTCACTGCCTGATTCCAATGCCCTCCCCTCAAGACCTGGAAGGTACAAACAACATCTCCACCCCTTTGAAAAAAAAACTGCACCAAAGGGATCTCTGTCCAACTAAACCTTAGTTGTTCCCTAAAAGACCGAAACTTTAGCCTTAAGAAGGAAAGAATGAAAGGATCTAGTCCTGTGGTCAGAGCAGGACTTTTAGAGAGCAAGCTTCCACTCACTGTCTAGAGCCGTGGTCTCCAAAACAAGCAGGAGAATCCACTGGAATGTGGGGAAAATATTATTTTTATCAAAAACAAGAAATTAAGCTTTACTGATATCCACTCTACAAGCTGACCCTGCGACCCTCTACATCCATGTGGGCCAGACACACATCAGACCAGCTTTGAGACAATAGTCCATAGATGAGCCCAGTGCCGAAGGCGGCAGTGGCCGCCACCCCTTCCTTCGCTGCTGGAGTGTCACTGAGTGCTACCGTGGATTTCCAGTCCTGGTTAATAGGATGTACTTATTATATTATCTGTATATTAATATTAACCGAAATTAACCCTGGGCAAATGCACAAGGGCCTGAACGTTGCTCAGGAAAACCAGAATCTAAATGCTAATATGTGAGCGCAGGGGATCTTTAAGAAGAACGGCAGAGCTGATTCTGTTCCTATCTCTAGTATGTCACATTAACCATTAATCATTGTGGTTTTTTTCCTTTTACCTTATAATACAACTTAGCAAGAGGTTGGCAAAAAATATTTTAAATTGTCCAGAGGATAATTTGAGATACAGTGAAACTTGCCCTAAGTGAAGGCTGTGCCTCCAGAGATTGGCTAGTGATGGTAGCACCTGTATAAAGCTTATATATGTGCATGTATATATAAATATATGCAACTTTTTACCAATAGGGCACATAATCAAAACATTTGAAACAAAACAAACAAACAAAAACCACAAAATACTGTGGGGAATTCCCTGGTGGTCCAGTGGTTAGGACTGTGCTTTCACTGCCGAGGGCCCGGGTTCAGTCCCCGGTCAGGGAGCTAAGATCCCGCAAGCAGTGCACCAAAAAAAACAAAAAACGTTCGGAAGCCATGGGTCTACAGGAGTCTATGACATTTTCTAACCTAGATATTAGAGTATGGAAACAACCAGCAGGACCCACCTGATCCGGGAGTACAAAGGGTTAAGATGAGAAGAGGGAAAAAGCAGAAAACAAAATAAGTTTATTCGTCCTCCTTCAGAGAACATTTTCCCTGAAATAGAGTCTCCCTGACACCAGGCACAGCTTCCACGACTGAACCGAGAGGACCTTCTTTCCCTTTACTTCTCCAACTAACCCAAAGCTTTTAAGACAGATGCCTGAAACCAAATCGAAGTGAAAAGCAGTGGCAGGTCTTCCACAATCCCAATTTTAGAATGTTCAAGCTGCCACAGGAGAGGCTGTTGGCAGTGGCCTCCAGTTGAGGTGAAGCACCCACTGCTGCAGTCAGCGGGAGGTCGCTAGTCCTTGCAGAAGGAAGGGCTTTGCTGCCTCCAGGATGTCCAGTTTAGGGTCCAGTGAGCGGCCAAGCCCCTCCAACACCATGATGGCAAACACAATTGAGGCAAAGTTGCTCTCAAGCTTTACCTGAAACAGGAAAACAGTGGTTCTTTCCGAAGCCCATTGATATACAGAGAGTGTCCTGGGTAACATGTCACCATCCACTCCCGGCCTCGTCTACCTGCCCATGTGATTTTTATCATCTACCTAACATTCTTTTCCCTACCCAGTCATTTTTCCCACCATCTCATCTACTCACCCAACCCCCACCTACTAGAAATATTAAGGAAAATATAGGGGATGCAGTGTGTACAGCTCTTCTCTGGGGGAAGTGTATAAGTGTGTGAATGACTTAAAAATACTAAAGTGAATAGTTTACAGCTACACCGGGAACCAGAAATCTAAATAAGGGTCATCCTTCAAAATCCACAGTAGTCTTTTTGAGACCAAGCACAACCGGCTTTGCTCAAATACAGCAGAGTTTCTTCCCCTTTGGAGCCAGGTTAATAGTAATAACAATTTATGAGGATTACCCAATTAATTCTCAAAAGTACTCTCATTATCTCCGTTCAGTAGATAAGGAAGCTAAGGCTCAGGGTGGCTCAGGTGGTGACTTGCTCAAGGCCTCTGGGTGAGGAAGAGTAGAGCCAGCATTTAAACCTAGAACAAGAATCTCTTTTCAGGTGGACAGAAGGTCAGGCAATGGAAGGTTGACTCATGGGGAAATAATCTTTGTTAAAAGTAAAGCGGGGGGCTTCCCTGGTGGCACAGTGGTTGAGAGTCCGCCTGCCGATGCAGGGGATGCGGGTTCCTGCTCCGGTCCGGGAGGATCCCACATGCCGCGGAGCGGCTGGGCCCGTGGGCCATGGCTGCTGGGCCTGCGCGTTCAGAGCCTGTGCTCCGCAACGGGAGAGGCCGCAGCGGTGAGAGGCCCGCGTACTGCAAAACAAAACAAAAACAAAAACAAACAAACAAAAAAAAAGTAAAGGGGGGGCTTCCCTGGTGGTGCAGTGGTTGAGAGTCCAGCTGCCGATGCAGGGAACACGGGTTCGTGCCCCGGTCCGGGAAGATCCCACGTGCTGCAGAGCGGCTGGGCCCGTGAGCCATGGCCGCTGAGCCTGCGCGTCCGGAGCCTGTGCTCCGCAATGGGAGAGGCCACAACAGTGAGAGGCCCGCGTACCGCAAAAAAAAAAAAAAAAAAAGTAAAGGGGGCTGGGGACTTCCCTGGTGGCGCAGTGGTTAAGAATCTGCCTGCCAGTGCAGGGGACACGGGTTTGAGCCCTAGTCTGGGAAGATCCCACATGCCGTGGAGCAACTAAGCCCGTGCATCACAACTACTGAGCCTGCGCTCTTGAGCCCACGAGCCAGCCACAACTACTGAAGATCGTGTGCCAAGAGCCCGTGCTCCACAACAAGAGAAGCCACCGCAGTGTGAAGCCCGTGCACCACCTCAAAGAGTAGCCCCTGCTCGCCGCAGCTAAAAAGAAAGCCTGTGCACAGCAACGAAGACCCAACGCAGCCAAAAATAAATAAATAAATTTATTAAAAAAAAAAAAAGTAAAGGGGACTTCCCTGGTGGTGCAGTAGTTAAGAATGTGCCTGCCAATGCAGGGGACACAGGTTCGAGCCCTGGTCCAGGAAGACCCCACATGCCACGGAGAAACTAAATCTGTGTGCCACAACTACTGAGCCTCCACTCTAAAGCCCGTGAGCTGCAACTACTGAGCCCATGTAACACAACTACTGAAGCCCGAGCGCTTAGAGCCCGTGCTCCGCAACAAGAGAAGCCTGCGCGCCGCAATGAAGAGTAGCCCCCTCGCCGCAAGTAGAGAAAGCCCGCGCCAGCAACAAAGACCCAATGCAGCCATATATAAATAAATATTTAAATATTTTAAAATGAATAAATAAATAAGGGGTATTTGTCCCAGTTAAGGCCCAAAAACTTGTCTGGGGAGTCAGATGGCTGATCAGGAGAAAGCAGCATATTACAAATGCACACTCATCGTGGGAATGTAAAATTGTGCAGGCTATGGAAGACAGTATGGAGCTTCCCCAAAAACTAAAAAAAATACCATCTGTAAATCAACTGTACTTCAATTTAAAAGAAACTATATGATGTAGCAATCCCACTTCTGCATAAATATCCAAAAAGAATTGAAAGCAGGATCTCAAAGAGACATTCGCACACCCGTGTTCACTGCAGCATTGTTCTTAGTAGCCAAGAGGTAGAAGCGGCCCAAATGTCCATCAAAGGATGAACGAATAAAGAAAATACAGTATATACATACAATGGACTATTATTTAGTCTTTAAAAAATAGGCAATCCTATCACCTGCTACAAAGTGCATGAACCTCAAGAACATTACATCAAGTGAAATAAGCTGGTCACAAAAGTACAAATATCTTATGATTCTCCTTATATGAGAAATCTAGAGTCATCCAAATCATGGACACAGAAAGTGGAACAGTGGTTGCCAGGGGCTAGGGGGAGAGAGACATGGGGAGTTTTTGTTCAGTAGATACAGAGTTTTAGTTTTGCAAGATGAGAAAATTCTAGAGCTCTAGAGATCTGTTACACAACTTTGTGAATGTGGTTGACACTGCTGAGATGTGCACTTGGAGATAGGTAGGGGTAAATTTTATATTATTTTTTTAACCACAATTTAAAATGTTTTGAATTGTTTTAAATTAAGTGCCTGGTGAAGCACTTGAATAGAGTGGCTGTACTCGATCGGCCCTCTCTCTGCTGTCCTGTCCTGAGAATCACAATGACAACAGCAAACATCTAAAGCTGTGGTAACCGCTGTGTCCCATGCAGTGTGTGAGGAAGGCTGTGTGCCAGTGGGAGCACCGGAGGCTGGAGAACAAAGCAGCTGGGAGTGGGGCTTCGCAGTCGGGCTGCGGGCACAGGGTCGGGCACTACCATGGGGGCCACCTGGCCGGGGGTGAGTTGCTCGGTGCCGGCCTCAAGGAATGTTGCGGGGATTAAATCAGATACTAATAAATGTTACACAGCTAAATTAGGTGCGTAGAGGGGAGTCACGGCACACTGCTACCGTTGTCCAGGCCTCATCCGGCCCTCCCAGCGGCCCCGGGGAGACTTGGAGAGACTTGAGCAGGTCAGAGCTGGTTGGTGCAGAGCTGGCTGTGAGCCTCACCCTCCGGCTCCCCGTCCCGTGCAACTGAACTCCCAGGAGTGTGTATTCATTC